CCCCCCCCTAGGCTCGTCAGGGCAGTGAAATAAAAAAAAGGCACGAAAAATGCGTAATAATTATTCCTGCCTCCACTGCAGGGGTCTGGATCGGCGCCGTGTCCGTCCTGCTGGTGACGGCGGGGCTGGTGGTCGGCGTCGTCTACGTGGTCAAGCACCCCAGCGAAACCGTGAGGTAGGTAGACACCTGCTCTGCAGCAGTGTTCTTCCCGCTGTATTCAAGCGAACGCTGAGTGCGGCGAGCCGCCGCACCAGGCCCTTAAGGAGCGGACGTCGAAACTGTGTCGAAACGACACATAGTAGTTTTTGTTATCGATTCGACACCGTTTCGACATCACTTGAAATGGCATTTTCGACTGGGGTTGTGGGCGCTCACCCCTAAACTTTTTGCTCTGTACCAGTCCCGCGCGGCCCGCAGCCTCCGACTTGCTGTACCTGTTCGACAGACCCGCCGAGCCGATCTTCTCCTTGCGGGGGATCAACCGAGATGTCGCCTTCGACGTGCCCCACGCCTACCTGGTAGGGGGTAGTTCGCATACTACGGGGGCATACCGGGGGGGGGGGGGGTCACATCCCCTACCCGTGCTCGAGCGGGCCAGCTTAGCGCTCAGTCACAGGACTCCTATAATGGTCTGATCCTTTTGAGACACCTGAATATTTGTACAACACCCCCCCCCCTTCGAAAAAAGTCATGTTGTATGGGGACAAGCCTTGGGGCTCCAATGCAGTGGCGGTTTTCCGTCCCCCGTCGGTCCCAGATGAGACGCCTGAAAATAGGCAACATATGCCTGTACGTAGGCAACCCTCGTGGTATCACCCTTCCCGTCAGTAGAACTTCAAACTGCCCCCGCCCCAATGCGAGTGAAACAGTAACTGCTGGGTAACAGTAACTGGGATAAGCTCGATGGGGTACTTCCGCTGAGCTGAGCATGCTGCTGACGCCATCCACTCTCTCTGCGAAGCCCGAGCGCTACCGGCAGCGGGAGGCCGAGGTTCGCGAGCAGGTGCGCCGTGCTGCGAAGCGAGTCGTCATGGTCCCCGAGATAGAGATGCCGGCTGAGAGGTTCGCCGACATCAACACCAGGCTGCCCTTCCGCAGCGCCTTCACGAGGTCCGCGCCGCCCTTCCTCGCGCTCGTCATCCGCTTCTGGCATTTCTTCGACGGTGAGTTGCAACGGGAGTAGAGGTGAAATAAAAGTCCGGTTGTCGTGTTTTTCCCCCCTTTTTTGTAAGGGGGGGGGGGGAGCGTCATTATTTTTCCGGTAAAACATTACCTTTTCACATTTTTAAAGAAAATTGATCTTGTGTGCGCAGAGAGTTCGTCGGTGGAGGACCTACTCGCCCGGGCTGTGTGGGCGCGTCTTCACTTCAACCCAGAGATGATCCTGGACGCCCTCATGCTGTACATGTTGCGGTCTCCTCTGCAGAGCGTTCGGGTACGCGGCGGCGGGGGTCGTTCCCCGCGGTCGTCGCATATATCCGTCTCCGTATCGCAAACACGAACGCACTCATCACTGACCTGGCATTGAACGTCTTTGCAGGACCTCAGGATCCCCGAGCTCCCCGAGTACATCCCCGAGCTCTACGTCAACGACGAGTTCTTTGCCAAGGCCCGCGAGGAGATGCACATGGTCCCCCCCAACAACAGGGTGAGCGTAAACAAATACAGGCCCTGTTGAAGTTGACGGGGGCGGGACGGCCTGCTTTAACTGCGATGCCCGCCACCCCGTGCTGCCAGGCGCCCGTGGCCGTGGCGAGGAACGTGGGCAAGGACGACGAGAGCGTGCTCTGGTACTTCCGCGAGGACCCCCACTTCCACGTGTTCCACTGGAAGTGGCACGTGTACTACCCGGCGGGGACGGACGACGACCAGTACGTGGACCTGCCGCGGCGCGGGGAGCTGTTCGTTCACCTGCACCGCCAGTTCACGGCCAGGTCGGTCGATCACCTTGCGACCTGCCCATTTATTCAAAACGTGGAATTGGGCGGCAAACAGCAGGGGAGCCGATAAGGGGCGTTCTTTCACGGGGATCTTCTCTGCATGCAGATACAACGCCGAAAGGTTCACCAACGGGCTGCCGGCGGTGCTGCCCATGGACGTGCACAAGCCGCTGCCCAAGGGCTACTTCCCGAAGATGGTTCATCTCCACGGCTCCAAGGGGACCGTAGGGCGACAGGACAACGCCACGCTGCTGGTGACCGCCCCGCACTGACACTTACCCACCGTCGCAGAGACTGTGACTGTGTTTGTGTTATTGATCTGAATTGTATCTCATTGCCACTTCGTATCCGCGTGTTCCAGCCTCTGAAGACGTTTGTCGACAATCACGATAAATGGATTAAAGGATATGAGCGTGTCCTTGACCAAGGCTACGTAGTACTTGTAAGTACAAAGAGTTTATATTCTCCTCAACTTATACTCACTGAGGCAGGGAGGCCTAGCTTACGGAACGGAGCTTACGACATGCCCGACAGAAAAACGGAACTCAAAAGAGGCTGGTGGACATTGAAGGCCTGGACATCATCAGCAACCTTCTTGAAGGGAACACAGTCGTGTCACCGGACTACAACTTCTACGGAAATGTGCACAACGACCTCCACGCCAACCTGCCCAGGGCGGCGGACCCCATCGCCGTCCACAACGTGAGTGCCCGGACGCATGGCATCGAAGGCCCGGGGTGAGAGAGATCGCTCGCTGATGTTTTGCTTTGACAGGAACCTTTGACCGTGACTTCCTTCATCACAACCGTGGCCAAGGACCCGGCCTTCTTCAACATCCACCAGCTGATGGACGACCTGTACGAGAAGTACAAGAAGAAGTACACTCTTCCTTACGACATCGCAAAGGACGTACGTCTTGGCGCCTCTCCGCTCCGCTCACTGTAAGTACACGCAGTCCGCAGCCGACTCAAAACTCCCCTCCGTTCGTCTCCAGCTCACACCGCTCCCCGGGGTGACGCTGCACTCCGTGGCGGTGCGCACCGCCAACGCGGCGGCCGCCAACGAGCTCAGCACGTACTACCAGCAGTCGGACCTGGACGTGTCGCTGGGGCTGGACTACACGCCCGCGGGGCGTCAGTACGCGCGCTTCACCCACCTCCAGCACCGCCCCTTCCACTACGAGCTCAGGGTCACGAACAACGAGTCCAGGCCCCGGCGGGTGTTCGTGCGGCTCGCGCTCCTCATGGTCCAGGACGAGAAGGGCGCGCCGCTGGACCTCGACTTCAGGCGTCGCTTCAGCCTGCTGCTGGACGTGTACGACGCCGTCCGTGAGTACGCGCCGTGCAGGTGGACTGCCATGGGAAAGGGGGGGGGGGAGGGTCAAAAAATCAAAGGCAGTTTTTAAGAGGTGGAATATTTACCCCAAAATTTAAAGTCAGCTTTTTAGACGGTACGAAAAACTTCCAGTAAATGTTTTTGACGGAGCTACATGTATCGTGGGCTGCAAAAAAAAGAATCACATTTGGCTTCCACGATTTTATATGATTAAAATGCCGTGAAAAAAGTACCCCAGTTCTAGGAGTAAGGAGTGGCCGTAAATTGTTAATTTGTTAAATGAAATGACGAGTCCGCTTCCCTCCCGCCAGTCGCCCCGGGTGACAACACGCTGCGGCGCCAGTCCACGCAGTCGGCGCTGACCATCGACAACGACGCCATCTACGCGGAGGGTCGGGACGCGGGGGCGGTGCGGCGGGGGAACGTGTGCCGGTGCGGGTGGCCGCAGGGCCTGCTGCTGCCCAGGGGCTCCGCGGCCGGCACGCCGTACCAGCTCCTCGCCATGGTCACCGACTACGAGCAGGACAAGGTATGGAGTGGATAATCGGGCAGGGGCGCCTGACCTTGGACCTTCTCGTTTTCATTATCCCATCCGTTTATCGTTCAACCCTCTCATTGTCCGTGCGCGTGCACGCCACAGGCCCCGACTTCCGGGTCGTCGGAGACGTGCGACGACGGCTGGCTCATGTGCGGCGTGATCGGCAGCGCGCACTACCCCGACGTGCGCGCCATGGGCTTCCCCCTGGACCGGCCCTTCCCCGCTGGCGTCGCCTCGCTGGAGGACCTGCTCACGCCCAACATGGCCCTGGCCGACGTGCGCGTCACGTTCGAGAACCGCACCGAGCCACCCACGGCCGTGTTGCAGGGCGACAGGTCCACCAGCTGGATGCCCACCGCCGGGCTGCAGGAGGGCGGCAGGTCCAGCTGGTTGCCCACCGTCTGAACGCAAACCGCCGGGCTGCAGGGCGGCAGGTCCACCAGCTCGATCTCCAGAGCTGAGCTGCAGGGCGCCAGGTCTACCAGCTGGGCGCCCACCAACCACCACAACCTGACCGCGCACGGCATCACGGACGCAAACGCGGATCCAGCGCCCCACACGGCTCCAAAAATAAAGTACCCCTGCCCTGTCCACATCACGGGCGGCGGCCATGCGGGCGCCAAGCGGAGCAGGTGGG